GGCAGGACAAGAAGCAACGGGTGGAAACTAATCAAGGAGAGAAGCAATCTAGAACTAAGGAGAAACTTCCTGACAGTGAGAACAATTAACCAGTGGAACAACCTGCCTCCAGAAGCGGTGAATGCTCCAACACTGGAAGTTTTTAAGAAGAGACTGGACAGCCATTTGTCCGAAATGGTATAGGGTTTCCTGCCTGAGCCGGGGGTTGGACTAGATGACCTTCAAGGTCCCTTCCAACTTTACTACTATTATTATTATTATACTTTTTTCTTTTTCATGCTTCTGTTATTTTGATTTTTTATATTTTTAATCAGTTTATATCCCTTTATTATTTTGAGTGGCGGGGCATCCAAAACTGAGTGATGAGCTGCAAATCAATCAATTAATCAAATTGTTGGGTGAAATCTTATAATGTGTCTGTGAGGAAAATTTGGAGGAGGAAAATTAGGCTTAGGATTTTCTTAAAAGTGTCATCAGTAGAGAAGATATTTGAATCTGTTCTTATTAAACTCAGCAGATAAACTAGTTGAAAAATATTAAAAATATATATGGTAGTTTTAACCCCTAAATAGATAGACAGACATAGACATAGACATAGACATAGACATAGACATAGACATAGACATAGACATAGACATAGACATAGATAGATCAATGTTTTACATCATTTGCAAACATGCAGTGTTTCCATTCTGTTTGAAAAGGGCTGAAAAGTATTTTTTAGGAATTACCTATTATTTATACTAGAAGTAGCTCAGAATACAGATTCATATAACTCCATCTTATTTTCTAAAGAAAATTGAGAAATATGCCTCAAAATGTTTTGATTATTAAGTAAGAGTAATTATACTGAAATTGAATTTCCTACCCAATAAAACCAAAATAAATGATAGAATTAGTTGATAATGTCATCCTTAATCTAAAACTAAAAGATTATAAAATTGTGACAGTTTAGATTTTCATTATTTAAAAAGTGATAAAGTCTGATTTAGTGCTCAAATATTTTTCATTAGTGAGCCTGCAAATTAGTAGTCCCCTGTCAATTCTTCATTATAATAATAAAGACACTTTGGCAATCATTTAAACAGCTTTTGTTTCTTTAAAAAAAATCCACTTCACAATAGCTGATTTATACTATCAATTGAGACAGGTTTTTTTTTTTAATCCTTAGGGATATGGTAAGAGAAGTTAGATAAAAATCTCATAGAAATTGAGCACAGCATAATATCTTATTCATGGCTTTAGAAAGACAATAATAAAAAATAAAGATATCTGCATGACTAAACATGTATTACTAAGATGGTGAGTCATTAATTTTATTTTGAATTGTCCATTATTTGTCTGTTCCTTCCTTTAAATTTTTATAATTCTTTCTTTCCCTTTCTTTTGCAATTACAATTCCAACAAAATACATATTGTAATATAGCGTTAGCTGTCTACAAAGAAATAATTCTTCAGTAAATTTTATTTAAGAAGAGAGAGAAAAATAAACATCATTAGAAAGTAATACATCTTAGATTAATCAAGTAAACTAGGAAAGCAAGACCTTTTCCCAGTTCCAACCCTCCCCCACCTTCAGTTATTACACAATAATACAATAGTAACTGAGGTATAGCTGAGTAGGAAGATTTACCATGGCTTATTGTAAAATAATTTCAAGTTATTTTTCTTTAATCATTTTAATTATGTCCTCATTTTAGTACAGAACCCAGGGTTTTTTACTTACATCCTAAGGTTGTGCCGCTATTTAAAATGGACTCTTTGAGAACATTTCCTTTACTTTCTAAACAAGGCAACTCCATAGAGTTCTTAATTCAGATAAAGTTGTAAAATAGAATTAAAGGCTCTGGTTTGAAGCCATTTTTAAAATTTCCATTTTGTGTAGAACAAAGTAGAGAACACAAGGTCGAAGTATTTTTCTTTCATGAATGCCATAAATTCAAAGACTGCAGTTTATTAAGGGCCATTTATCAAGAAAGTTAATATTGATGGTTTTAAAAATAATGAAACAAAAACAATCCATAGTTGCTAAAATTAATAAATGTGGCAAATCCCAAACCAAAATAATCCCATTTCTATAATAATTAAAGAAAAGAGTTGAGCAGAGGTGGTAATTCTGTGATGGGCAGAATTTATAAAACACTAATACAGAACTCTAGAGTTATGCCAGTAAAAGCTAAAAACGTCTTATATGACAATTTAAATTTGTGTATTATGGTATATTAAATTCATTTCAACAAATAATGATAGTATATAGTATCTGCCAGTTACAATATGCCAGATAAAATGAAGCATTCTTTTCTTTAAAAAAAGGGAAAGAAGGAGGAAGAGAGACAATAACTACAGTTATGTCACATTGATATCTTTAAATGTACTTGGATTCAAATCCAACTTCCAGAAGTTTTTATCTGTTGGATAAGAAATATGTGTTTTCTTTAGACTCCCACTTTTGATGAATTATTGTTATAGAAGACTATAAAAAGATGCCCTAAGATTTGATATTAATGGTTAAAAATCTGTGAGAGTCATCACCCTGAACTTTAAGGAAGCACAATCATAAAAATCTGTTGCTCAGAATATTTGAATAAATTTGGAAAGTAAGGTTTTAATCTAATATCCATGAAATACAGTATTGCACAGATAACTCAAAATGATATTGAATGGAAATAGTTTAACATTTTTTTTTCTTTTTCTTCTAGGGATGTAATCATTAAGAATGGATAATGATACCTCTCAGTTTTTTCTTTGGGAATTCTCAGAAATTTGGGAGCTACGGGTTATGCACATAGCTTTACTACTGATATTGTATTTAATGACATTATCAGGGAACCTTCTCATCATCTCTGCTGTTGTTTGTGACTACCATCTTCACACCCCCATGTACTTCTTCCTGATGAATTTAGCCATGCAGGATGTTGGTTCCATTTCAGTCATTGTCCCCAAAGCTGTTTTTAATTCTCTCATGAATATTAGGACTATTTCTCATTTGGGATGTGTTGCCCAAGTCATGTTCTTCACCTTTTTCTCGGCCTGTGATGTTTCCCTCCTTACTGTGATGGCATACGATCGGTATATTGCCATTTGTAGTCCTTTACAATATGAAATGATAATGAATAGGAAAGCCTGCACCAAAATGATTGGCAGCGTATGGATTGCCAGTCTTCTCAATGCTTCATTACACACCATTTTCACTTTTATTACTCCTTTCTGTTCTAATATTATCAATCAGTTCTACTGTGAAATCCCTTATTTACTTAAGATTTCCTGTCCTGGTGTATATGCACCTGAAACTGGAGTTCTAATTTTCAGTAGTACATTAATATTTGGTTGTTTTATTTTTANCCTGCAAAGATGAAGTGAGGAAAGCCAAGGCTCAAAATGAACTAAGGCTTGCAACCAAAGTCAAAAATAACAAAAAAAGCTTCTTTCAACATGTAAAAAACAAGAAAAAAGTGAAGGAAATGATTGGTCCATTAGTGGGGGAAAGTGGCAAGAAGGTGACAAGCAACAGGGAGAAAGCGGAACTATTTAACTCGTTTTTTGCATCTGTCTTTACACAAAGGAAAAAAACAGACCAACCTATCAAAAATAGTGCCATAAAAAACAGAATAGAAACACAAGTTAAGATAGGCAAGAAAATAGTAAGTGAGCACCTGTCCAGCCTAGACGAGTTCAAATTGCCAGGACCAGATGGATTACACCCCAAGGTTCTCAAGAAACTAGCAAATGTGATCTCTGAACCACTGAACTATATTTTTCAAAGATCCTGGAGCACAGGGGAACTACCAGAGGACTGGAAAAGAGCTGATGTAGTTCCCATCTTCAAAAAAGGGGAAAAAAAATGGACCCAGGAAATTACAGACCTATCAGCCTGAACTCAATACCTGGGAAGATCCTGGAAAAGATAATCAAACAATGAATCAACGAACACCTAGAGACAAACAAAGTCATTACTAAAAGCCAACATGGGTTTGTCAAAAATAGATCATGCCAGAGAAATCTTATTGCATTCTTTGACCAAGTGACAAAATTAATGGATGAGAGAAATGCTGTGGACATAATTTACTTGGACTTCAGTAAGGCATTTGATAAAGTACATCACAACCTACTACTTGACAAGATAGAAAAATATGGGGTAGACAGCATCACCACCAGATGGATCCGTAGCTGGCTGACTGGCCGTACTCAGCGAGTTGTCCTCAATGGAACCACATCTACATGGAGGGAAGTGTGTAGTGGGGTGCCCCAAGGCTCTGTTCTGGGCCCAGTGCTCTTCAACATCTTCATCAACGATTTGGACGAGGGGATAGATGGGCAACTCATCAAATTTGCAGACGACACAAAGCTGGCAGGAATAGCCAACACTCCAGAAGACAGGCTTAAGATACAGAAGGATCTGGACAGACCTGAACACTGGGCACTATCTAACAAAATGAAATTCAATGGTGAAAAAAGCAAGGTTCTACATTTAAACAAGAAAAACCAAATGCACAAGTACAGCATAGGTGGCACCTTACTCAATAGTAGTAACTGTGAGAGGGACCTCGGAGTCCTAGTGGACAATCACCTAAATATGAGCCAGCAGTGTGCTGCAGCTGCCAAAAAGGTCAACACAGTGCTAGGCTGCATTAACAGAGGGATAGAATCAAGATCACGTGAAGTGTTAATACCACTTTACAATGCCTTGTTAAGGCCACACTTGGAATACTGCATCCAGTTTTGGTCACCGCGATGTAAAAAAGATGTTGAGACTTTAGAAAGAGTACAGAGAAGAGCAACAAAGATGATTAGGGGACTGGAGGATAAAGCATATAAGGAATGGCTGCTGGAATTGGGTATGTCTAGTTTAATGAAGAGAAGGATAAGGGGGGACATGATAGCAGTGTTCCAATATCTCAGGGGCTGCCATAAAGAAGAGGGAGTCAAGCTATTTTCCAAAGCACCTGGAGGCAGGACAAGAAGCAACGGGTGGAAACTAATCAAGGAGAGAAGCAATCTAGAACTAAGGAGAAACTTCCTGACAGTGAGAACAATTAACCAGTGGAACAACCTGCCTCCAGAAG